AATGAAAACCGCATCAACATCATAGATATAAAACAATCCGCGTTCCTTCTTGTACCACGTGAAGAAGTCTTATGCTGGCTGTATCCTTAAAGTGTTATTACTGCAGATATTGTACTGAACAGTAAGACCCTTTTCTAGTGTAGGTCACACTGAGTCCCTTTCTGATTTTATGATTATACCCCTTAGAAACCGAGGATGGACTAATGCATGTACAAAAAATAATCTTGGCATCGATCTTTTCTTTTTAAGAAAGTGCACCCGTAACTGAATTAAGATGCTCTAAAACCAATAGTGGAATTTTGTGACGTGAGCGGCTGTTTTAAATGATGCTGGAAATTGCATGGACACCTCAAGTGTTGTGTATTTCTTGCACATGCATGTCAAAATGTTATTTTGCAAGTAAAAGACAAATCCAACCTGTGATGTGACATTACAAATGTTTCACTGCTCCTACGGCAGTGACTTTAGCCCGAAATTGTATGCAAGTCTGAATGCGCTATCGTCACTAACCTAGGCTAATGCAAAAGCAAAGTCTTTTTAAAATTTTTATTTTATTTTAATTTTTTTTTTTCTGAAAACCGCATCAACATCACAGATATAAAACAATCCGCGTTCCTTCTTGTACCACGTGAAGAAGTCTTATGCTGGCTGTATCCTTAAAGTGTTGTATGCCATTCAACTTTGGAGGTTCCACTGTAGATTTTTTTAAGGGGGGGATATCATATCAAATTATATACATCAAAGTCATACACTGTAAATTGAGAAGAGAAAAACTGAGTCAAAGGAGACATTTATCTTCAGATTTTGAGAATCACATGCCTATGGAATATCCCCAGTGTGATAGTGTAAAGTACAGGTGTCAAACTCCTGTCTTAGATCTTTCCCTCCTCCCACAGGCCTGATTCAAATGATCAGTTCATTGGCAAGCTCTGCCGGAGCCGGATAACGCTCCTGATTATATGAATCGGGTGTGTTGAAGGAGGGAAACATCTAAAACATGCAGTATGGTGGCCCCGAAGAACCGAAGTTTGACACCTGTGGTGTAAAATACATTAGGTAATAATTGCAGTACAATGGCCCCAAATTACATACTTGTAGTGCATCTTTTTATTGTGTGAAACACTACATGGTTCATAAAGAAGTTAGACATTTTTTGTACTTTGGTACTTACTGTTAGATGTATTTTTTTGCTTATCTGCGCATGGCATATCGTTACTTTTGTCTTATATTTGTATGGTCAGTGTTGTAAATTGAAATTGTGGTGTTTCTTTTTATTTACGGTGCCACGACGATAGTTAAGTTACCTACTTGCTCGTCTTTCATGTCAGTATTGTGAGCTTTTTGTTAAAAAAAAAATGCTGTGCATTCAGTGTAAAAATTACTTGCGTTATTTCATTTCGTCAGCGGGGGGCACTAAAGCCTCACAAAATCCCAGGCTGTATCCGTCACATCAGTTCTGGTCTGCTTTTGAACAAACCATGTCAATTTGACATTTTGTAAAAAAGTTACCGAAAATCAGATTCATTTTAATCTGCATACAGCGCCAGGTTTCCCAATGATGGACCTTTTTGTCTTTGGTATCGTGATGGAGTCAAAGTATATATTCCTTCCGCAGACATTCATCATTTAAGCTACCGAAAGTGTTGATTGAGAGTCATTGTGTGTACTTGGGTGGTGGGTGATTGAGAGGGCGGGGTTTCGACGGTTGGGGAGGGGCTTGTCTTTTAAAAGGCTGTTACACCTTGTTGACGATGAGGATTTAGTCAACAACACATTGACAAATCAATCAGTTGAAAATCATTGTACAACCCGCAACTGAGACAAACCATTATGGTTTAGCCCAGGGGTGTCAAACTCATTTCACATGGTGGGCCACATACGGCCTGGGTAGATGTCAAGTGGGCCGGACCATTAAAATGATACCATACTTTGCTATAAATAACCAAAACAATATGTCTTTCCTTTGATGGTTTAGCCTGAAGGACACGTCGGCTAAATGAAAAAAAACGCTGCATTATACAACAGCTGACAGTCTGCCTAATTAAGGAGACAGACAAAGGATTTAGCAACCAGATTTCAGTGTTCCGATTGTGAAACAATTTGGAGTCAGACAAAGTAGTTTCTGGAGCAAATATGCCTTGAAAGTCAATTAAAATTTAATTTCAACCATCATCATGTATGATGTCAGAAAATCTGATTTCTTTTCCCCCTACGTTTTTGCAATGCCACCAAAGAAAAGTGTTTGCCAAATGGCTTTACCCAAGCACCATTCGTTCGCAGTCTCGACGTGCAAGTGTGGACATCTACTCTGCTGGGAGTCTCTACTGCAAAATCACAAGGTTTGTTGCTACTCACTTTTTGGGAAGAAAGAGACATTAAATAGAGCAAAAAGTTACTAAGTCAGCAACATGAAGTCACTGCTCACTTTATTGCATGCGTTGGCTCCACCCTCTGGTTGCATGATGATGAAAGCCAATTAACAATTTTCAACAGTATTTAGTATTGTTATTATGTCTGTCTCGATGAGTTGCAACACCCTCTATGTTCAACAGTTCATTGCTTTAAGCGTTACAACACCACCACATAGACGGTTTTTGTGGTGGCATGGCAGTTCCCATTATGTGTTAGCACTGTGTTTGTGGAATCATGCTCATGGAAGATATTCATAAGTTAACTCGATCTAATGAATGTGTTCTTAAGCTAATTCGATAAAACTGTCATTGTGTCCCACTGGCATACAAAGCACCATGACAACAAAGTGCCTTTAACACACATTTGGACACAAAAAAGCAGCAGTGCCTGTGGGGTGTCGCCAAGCTGCTCTAATTCTCTTGATTATGAAAGTGAGTTCATTGGCTTCTTAATGGTGGCCGAAGGAGCCATGTGGGCACCGCAGAGCCAGCCTGTCGTGATAATCAAAAGGATAACTACTTGAAATGGGCAGAATTGCATGAAGACTTGGAAATGTATTAAGTAACCTTATTAGCATCAAGAGGGGGCGGCACGGCGAGGGACTAGTTAGCAAGTCTGCCTCACAGTGCAGAGGTGCAGGGTTCGATTCTGCCTCCGGCTTTCCTGTGTGGGGTTTGCATGTTCTCCCTGTGCCTGCGTGGGTTTTTTCCGGGTACTGCGGTTTCCTCCCACAGTCCAAAAACATGTATGGCAGGTTAATGGAACACTCTAAATTGTCTACAGATGTGATTGTGAGCGTGGATGGTTGTTCGTCTATGTGTGCCCTGCAATTGGCTGGCAACCGACTCAGGGTGTACGTCGCTTACTGCCAGAAGACAGCCGGGATAAGCTCCAGCAAGCCTGCGGCCCTTGTAAGGATAAGTGGATTAGTAAATGGATGGATGGATGGATGGTATGAAGAGGTTGTCAGCCAAGAGACAATCACTGCTCTCTCATATCTCATTTGAAATTCATTATTGGATGTGATGCACGTGTCAGAGAAGAGCTACTGGAGAATTGCAAAATGAAGTAATCAGAGAGAGCGAGAGAGAGAGAGAGAGAGATCAATTCATTTCTGTAATTTTGGGATGGTGACAATATTACTGTGTTTACATCGATTGCATTTTGTCGCTATAGTATGCACAGAACTGCGCAAAGCTCTTTGGCAGGCACAAGCTTTGTTCTTTTAATGACCTTTTTTCGGAGCAATCATTTTAACAATGAGGAAGTAATAGGCAGATAGTTAGGATTATGGAAAATATTTCCATAAAACACTGTGGAAATTTTATGGAAACAATCATACTGTCGGGCTCTGTTCAACATCTTCCACGAATTAGGAAGTTGTCAGCTAAAATTAGCAAACCGACACATGTTTTTTTTCACTTGCTTACTAGTAGCATTCTATGGAATGAGTGCTTTTGCTTTTGTTTTTGCTTTTTTTTCTTCTTCTTCTCGACCCCCCCAATTTTGTTGCTGTAGATTGCAAATTTCCCCAATGTGAGATACAGATGACGACTGACAGAACCCTTTCTACGTTGCTGTAGATTGCAAATTTCCCCAATGTGAGTCAAATAAGTTATCTTATCTTTGAATTAAACATGCTTTTTATACATGGCAAATCTAATGGAATGAAAGAAAATTTGACCTGTGACCCCAGATTTCCAACACCAGTTCTCCTGCCAACTGCGAGGTTTTAGCATGCAATTAATAAAAATTAAAGCATAACACCTTGCTAGCAAACAAGAGCAGTAATCGTATTTGACTGCCAGAGCCCAGTGAGAATCAAACTCACAACTCCTGGTGTACAAAACTACTCTAACCACCAAACTACGAGGACACATCTAGCAAATCTGCCTTATAATTTTAGGTGATGAGTTTCAAAAGAATATAGTGCTGACTAGAGTATAAGCACTTCGCATATAAACCAGGACTCAAACCACTAAGCTAATCTTGTTTAGCAATCCTTCAGGTCTTCTCAGGCCCGAATGAGAATCAAAGTCATGACTCCTGGTTTCTTCGACCAGTGCTTTAGCCACTGAACTACAAGGCCCACATAGCAACTTAGCATGGCATTTAAACATCATAAGTACATTTGCACCAGTATGGCGGATTTGTGCCACACTCTAACGTCTATGAGGACAACTGCATTGCCTTAGTCTCAGACTGTATTCATCCTGTTTAGCTTAATTTATGGCAAATGTTTATCATGGCATCCGGTTTCTGTAAGAATTGAACCTAGAACTGCCTCTAAAGGAAGGATGGGCTGTTATCCTGCATTTTTTAGATCACAGGTGTCAAACTCCGGTCCTCGGGGGCCGCCGTCTTGCATTTTTTCCATCTCTCCCTGTTGCAACACACCTGATTCAAATGAACAGGATCGATATCAGGCTTCTGAAGAGCTTTTTGATGAGCTGATTGTTTGAATCAGGTTTATTGGAGGAAAGAAACATGTTAAACATGCAGGATAGCGACTGTTGACATTAGGGCTCTCACCAATTTTTTCCCAGAAAATCCTAGCCCATTGTTTTGCTGTAGCAAACTAAACGTGT